ACAACAAACAGAGGCCACACAAGGGGCCGGCAGTGTAACGCAGCCAGTGTGGGACGCTGGCAGGCATCTCCCCTCCACCCCCCACCAGAAAGAAGACCCAGTGATCAATTTCTACACTGTCGCTACGGAAACAGAGCTGTCTCTATTGGGCTTGGACTGAGGAGAGTCTGACTGCATTCTTCTCTCTCCCTCCCTTTCCTCTATCTATTACCACCTCTATTATCTCCCCTGCTCTTCTTCCTCCGCCACCCCTTCCTGCCTTCCCCGTCTCTCCCTCCTGTCTTCCATCCTCCTCCTTTCACCTGCCTCTCTGGAACAAATCAACAGCTGTCTCCGCCTCATTCTGAGCGAGCGTACTTTCTATAAAACGAGCCACTGTTCACTGGCTGCAGACGCTTGTCTGACTCCGAACTCAAAAAGGTGGACGGCAGCTTCCTCGGCAGGCTTTTTGTGTCTCTGGAAGGACAAACACGTTCACGGTCAACGTCTCACAACACCACAAGACACGGTGGATCCTTAGACAGCTTTTAAAAAGTTGCCTCTCAGATACAGTGAAACAAAACATTTCCCGTTTCTGCAGGAACTCCCACAGCAAACTCAGTCCCAGTCCATGCTGCATTTTCAACAAACCACAGTGATCTGAATGGCCGAAGGGTGTGTGTGTGTTCTGCCAGAACAGAGGGCTCCATTCAGCTCCATGCCGTGCTCCGCAAATGTTAGCTCTGCCAACACATTAGCACTGCCCTGCAAAGCATGTCTGATCAGCCAAAGGGGTGACCTGTTAGTGTTGATGCAGCATAAAGAACAGGTCGAATAATGAATTGTAAAATAAGAAATAAAATCTGGACAACAAATCTCATAATGATGGTCAACGTGACCGTAGCAGGGTTAGGCGTGAGGAAATTTTCCAGGTTGTCCAGTGGACAACCTCTTGACAGAATCTGGTTGTCTGCCAAAATTTTTGGTTGTCCGCAACCTTTACAATAAAGAAGGCAAAAAAAAAAAAATAATAATAATCTCAAGACAGCTGTAATTTAATAAGTATACTGCACTACAGACAAAGTTGACTATATACAAAATGTTTTCAGTCAGCCATAGTGTGGTCTGCTTGGAGTTTCCAAGCTCCTGAGTGGCAGACGTTTTCAGGAGCTGCTGGAGTGAAACTTCCTCGTTCTCCTCATCATCATCTAGACATCAGACTTTGCAAGAGGCATTCACAGCATATTTAAAGAGTGAAATCTGAACTACGTATCTGAGAGACTTTTCCTGCATACAGTTCGCTTGTCAACACCACCAGCCTGATCAAGAAGGCACATCAGAGACTCGATTTCTTCAGGCGACTGAGGTGAGCTGGTCTGGGAAGCTCAGTCCTCACCTCCTTCTACAGGTGTGCAGTGGAGAGCATCCTGTGCTCCAGCATCAACGTGTGGCATGGAGGCTGCTCAGCTGCAGAAAGAAAAGCTTTGCAGAGAGTGGTGAAGGCTGCACAGAAGACTGTTGGAGTCAGTCTCCCCACCATCACAGACATCTCCAGATGCAGGAAGAGAACCACCTGCATCATGAAGGACCCCACTCACCCAGCACACACACTTTTTGCCCCACTCCCCTCAGGCAAGAGGTTGAGGAGCATTAAGTGCAGAACCACTAGGAACAGGTTCTACCCTGAAGTTGTTAAGACTCATAAATCCCTAACCAGGATAATCACTGTAAGGGAAAAATAAATAAATAAAAGGAAAATCAATGTAATGACTCTTTAATTCAGAGATTTGACTTTTTCTTTACCCATGCTGCTGAGTTCTTACCTTAAGATGCTTTATTCATACCCATCTGCTCACAACAGACTCATGTTCAGGCTGCTGTTTAATACACCTTATTTATATCATATGATTATTGTTTGGCATGTATCTTAGATCCTTGTATACCGTTTTCTTTTTTTTAATGGTTTATATTATTGCTATTTTTGTGTGTAACTGGGACCTTGAGTACATAATTTCGTTCCATCTCATGTACCACATGTGATGTGAATGACAATAAAGAACCTTGTCAAAGGTTCTCATGTAAATAAAGAGTATACTGTGTACATGATGACCTTAGTAAAAGTACACAGTACACTGTGTACATGACCTCAGTAAAAAGACACAGTACTGTGTACATGATGGCCTTAGCAAAAGTACACAGTATACTGTTTACATGACCTTTGCAAAATAGCAAAAGTACACAGTATACTGTGTACACAACCTTAGCAAAAGTACACAGTATACTGTGTGCACGACCTTAGAAAAAGTACACAGTACACTGTTTACATGACCTTTGCAAAATAGCAAAAGTACACAGTATACTGTGTACACAACCTTAGCAAAAGTACACAGTATACTGTTTGCATGACCTTAGCAAAAGTACACAGTACACTGTTTACATGACCTTTGCAAAATAGCAAAAATACACAGTATACTGTGTACACAACCTTAGCAAAAGTACACAGTATACTGTTTGCATGACCTTAGCAAAAGTACACAGTATACTGTGTGCACAACCTTAACAAAAGTACACACAGTATACTGTTTACATGACATTTGCAAAATAGCAAAAGTACACAGTGTACTGTGTACATGATGACCTTAGCAAAAGTACACAGTATACTGTGTACATGATGACCTTAGCAAAAGTACACAGTATACTGTGTACATGATGACCTTAGCAAAAGTACACAGTATACTGTGTACACAACCTTAGCAAAAGTACACAGTGTACTGTGTACATGACCTTAGCAAAAGTACACAGTATACTGTGTACATGATGACTTTAGCAAAAGTACACAGTATAGTGTGTACACGACCTTAGCAAAAGTACACAGTATAGTGTGTACACGACCTTAGTAAAAGTACACAGTATAGTGTTCTCTAATGAAGTAAGAAGACTTTAAGCTGCACCATCCAGACCAACAACATTCTGAAGGAAGAGGGTTTTAAACAATTGTTCTCTACTTTACTTTTATGTCATTTCAATGTTTTTAATTGAGGGTAGTCAGATATATTTTACAAACTATAGCTCATAAAGTCATTTGCAGAGTATAAATTAACAAAAATTATTATGTATAATTTGTCAGACTGACAAACTGATTATTTCGTTCAAAGGGTTTATACAGTATTTACAGGATTATTGCTCATTATAGTAATTTAATCCTATTTATTTTTCATATTTGACCATTTATTAAATTACATTAATCACAGTAGTTACCTCTTAGTATGGGTCTAAATATAGTCAAGTTTAGCTCATCCAAACATCAACAACTTGTTATTAAAGCACTGTAGAATTGAATTTAGCTTATGATAAACACCTGAAAGTGACTCTCACAGAGAACTTTGTGAGTTTAAGGTGAAAATTAAAGTTAAACGGAGACACACGTCTTTTCTGTAATCTGGGGCGTGGGGGGAGGGGGGCATGCGCTTGTTGCACATATCTGTAAGATGATGTCGCTTCTAACACATTAACATTTAATACAAAGTTAGATATAAGTGTCACGGGGAGGTCGGGGTGTGGAGCGGGGTAAGGGGGTGGGAGTGATGGCGTATCATTTCTGGTATCTCCCCCTGTCGACCCCTGCTTAGTGTGAAGTTAGACATTTGTAAGCAAAACTTGTGACCAGGTGCACCTGTTAGCTGTTTGTTTACCTACAAAAACAGCCAAAGTGACTGAAAATCAGCCCACATCAGGTGTGTCCATTGAAAAGCTGTTCGGAATCAATAGTCCAATAATTCTGAAGTACTGGTACAAACTTGCTCTCAGATTTGTTGAGTAAACTATAATGCAGTGCTTTGTTTACATTGAAGGCTTTCCAGCATTTCAGAATTACATATCAATATATCTGTAAAACTACTGGGAGTAATCTCAGTTTGACATGTCAAAGAAAACTTTACGTCTTTGACTTCACATGAGCACCTTTAACGTTCTGCAAATAGCTCTGGAAGACAAAGCATGTCTTGAAACGATCAATTTATGCACAGAAAATAAAATTACCCACGTTTTCCAGTCTGCTGGAAAGTTGGCCAGTTCAAGTCAGTGAAATGCATTATGGGTACACAATGCTAGTTTGACAGCGTGAAGCTCAGTCCTCACCTCCTTCTACAGGTGTGCAGTGGAGAGCATCCTGTGCTCCAGCATCAACATGTGGCATGGAGGCTGCACAGCAGTCTGTTGGAGTCAGCCTCCCCACCATCACAGACATCTTCACCTCCAGATGCAGCTAACCGAATCACACTGTGGATGCATTTCTTTTCAACGTTGGCGACTGGTTTTGTTGTTTTTTTAGTAGTATTTTTAGTATGTTTTTAGTATTTTTGCTGCTTGCGAATCGAGACGGTTCTTCTCATCCTAAGCGTTGTTGACCTTGTGTTGATTTTGCATATGACAATTAAAACTAACCTGCATCATGAAGGACCCCACTCACCCAGCACACACACACTTTATGCCCCGCTCCCCTCAGGCAGGAGGTTGCGGAGCATTAACGCGTAGAACCACTAAATCACTGAAATTCCACTTTAATTAGTGATTTGACACTTTATCTGTGCTGCTGACTTTTTACCTTTAAGCTGCTGTATTCATACCCATCTGCTCACAACAGACTCATGTTCAGGCTGCTGTTTAATACACCTTATTACATTACATTATTATTGTTTAGAGTACATCTTAGATCTTTGTATACAATTTATTTTTTTATACATTATATTTTTGTTATTTTTGGGTGTAACTGGGAGCTTGTGTACACAAGTTCGTTCCACCTCATGCACCACATGTGACGTGAATGACAATAAAGAACCTTGATAATCCATCATACACCATCTAAACTAATGCCTACTTCCTATTTACAAATTACCCAGTGAGAGATGTTAAAGATGGACACAAACATTCAGGAGCTCATGGACTTCATGAAGAAGCAAAGAGCATTTTCTCCAAATCCTAAATGAAAACACTGACACGTGATGAGACATGAATGAACCTACCGAAGTACTCCTTCTTCATGTGCATCTCCAACTCCTTCTCCAGCTCCAGGGTGAGCGCCTCCAGCCGTTTCTCCGCGTGGCTGGGCCCACTCTCTCGGCAGGGGGTCACCTGGTAAGGTAACTTGAACCTCTGTCCCGTGGAGGCCGGTTTACAGGACACCCCGTAACTCAGCGAGGACACAGCCGGGACGAGCTCCACCGTCCCGCACGTCTGGGCCTGCAGCTGCGGGGGCTCCGTCACCACCTGCAGGTGGATGCGGGTTGGAGTCCCGCCGGAGTCTCCGAGCTCCTGCAGCAGGGCGTCCTCGTGCACGCTGCTGCCCAGCATGGACGAGCGTGGGGAGGGCAGCTGCAGGTCCGGGTAGGCGCTCATCGAGCCCCTGGAGCTGCGCGAGCTCCTGGAGCTGTGGCTGGAGATGCTGGAGCGCGGACTGAGCACGCAGTTGTTGGTCCCGGTCCCGGGTCTGGCGCTGCCGTCCTGGCTGCAGATGCTGGAGCGCGGGCTCGCCAGCGGCGCCGCGTGCAGGATGGCCCCCTCCAGGTCGTGGTGGTTGACCGCGGGCCCGTACCGCGAGTCGGAGTAGCTGGACCTCGGGCTGGTGGTGAAGGAGTACTGGCTGGCCGTGCTGGACCTGGAGCTGGTGTGCCGCTGGTCGTAGCCCATGCTGATGCCGCTGGTTCGGTTGCTGCTGGGCTTGCTGCAGCAGTCGCAGCTGTTCAGGCTGGTGCGCGGGCTGGAGTGCTTGCTCGTGTCGCTGGCCGTGCTGGCGTAACTGGAGCGCGGGCTGAGGACGCTGGAGCCCTCGCAGTGGACCAGGCTGGACCGGGGGCTCGTGTACCTGTCGTGCCCGGGCACCGCCAGGCTGGCGCGCGGGCTGGCACCGAACCTCCCGTCGTGGCTGCCGGTGATGCACACGCTGTTGCACCTGTTGCCGGGCGGAGGCGCCGCTTTGTGCAGGGCCACGCCGTCGAAGGCGGAGCCGGTGCTGTACCTGTGGCCCTGCACCTCCAGGGAGTACCTCCGGTGCCGCTCCGAGGAGGTGCCCGAGTAGCACGGCAGAGCCACCTCGGACTTGGTGCAGCAGCCCTCCTCGTCGCCGAGCTCTCTGTGGGGCGCGCAGAAATCCACGGGCACCGTCCGGCTGCAGCTGACGGGACGCACGGGAGCCGCGTGGAACACTTTATTCCCGGAGGTGAAGTTCTCCACGGTGTGATGCTGCCGGTGCAGCGAGGAGGTGCCGTTCACCGGCTGCACCTCCGCCGGAGCAGAGAAGTCCAAGTCGGGGCTGATCACCAAGTCCCTCCTGGTGGCGTACACCCCGTCTTTGTAGGCTTCGTACAAGGACAGGTCCTCCATCAGTCCCAGGTCTTCCTGATAATGCTCCATGTCGAGGAAACGAGTTGAGGCGGCGGAGAAATGAAAACAAGTCGCCGCGGCGCAGCCCCGGTTCAGCCACAAAAACCCACCGGCGGAGCCACTAAACCTCCATCCGAGAGCCGCATCGTCCTCTCCTGCTTCCCTCCCTTCCCCGTGAAAAAAGAAAAACACAAACTCTTTCTCACAGTTTCGGCCCCGACAGCGATACGTTTTGTCAACTTCAGTTTTTGTTAAGTTGAAAGGTCTTTACAGTCAATGGCGCGCTGCGCGGAGGAATTTCTCCTCGCTGGCTTCACCCCCCCTCCCCTCCTTCTACTTCCAAAATCTCTCCCCTCTCTCTCTCTGGCTTTAGCAGAAGTTCGAGCAGGCTGGATAAATACGCACGCCGCGAACGAGCCCTCTTTGTCGGCGTGTTTTGGGTCGGGGACTTGTTCGCGTCAAAGGAATGCGAGGAGGGAGACGGGTAGTGCTGCGCCTCTCTGGAATGTGGTTAATGCTGCAGAGAAACAATGATTGCGACCAACTCAGCAAGGGGCTGCGCACTGAACACTTTAGACAAGGGGAGGTCTGAACTCATCCAAGGCGGACTGAAAGCCTGCACAAAGCACGCCTCACCTGGTCCGACTCCTGCACGAGCTATAAACTGCAGTCAACAGGTTCAGGAGGCGCTTTAAACCCCCGTTTGTCCAGTTCTTATGCACATATAATCTGCATATAATCTGCGTGGTTTAATCTAAAAGATGCAACTTCTGAATACCAAGAAGTAACTTTATCTTAGTCATAACAACCCTGCAGTTACAAGTAAAACTGAAGGCAAGGTGAACCAGAGATATTGCATTATGCAGTGTGAATGCTTATTGCTGAAGATCAGCTGAAAAACAGCTGAAATTGGCTAAAAACACACTGAAATGTAGCTGAAATGGAAGAACAAACCTACCGTATTTTTCACCCTATATGTCACAGGTTTTTTGCATAATTTGCATGCCCTGTGACTTATAGCTAAAGCAACTATTTATGGATTTTTACCCATATGTATAAACTAATTTGGGCAGCTGGCCCGGACCGAAAGTCCTAGGGATCGATCCCGGTCACTGCACACCTTGTGGTGTCTCTGGGCACCTCATCACCAAAATGCCCCAGGGGCTTCCAGTAGCTGCCCACTGCACCACCTGGTGGTGGATGGGTTAAATGCAGAAACTAATTTCGCCATTGTATGAAAACAGACAGTGATGACATTGAGATGACATTATTATTATTATTCGTTCTGACTGAAAATATTGGAACACTAACATTTTCAGCAGCTAGATGGCATTCGAGGTGTACAGCATGCTCATTACATGCTGTAATAGGTAAAAAAGTGGCTATTAATGACACAATCGGCTTGCCACAACCTGCCACCGTCATCTGCCTGGAGTCAAATCAGCTTCATTTCTCTGCGCCGCCCTGTCGAAATGCAGCTGATTTGACCATTAAAGTGCAGTTATTAAGTAAAAGTTCAACTGAGACACACCTTTGCTATAAAGTTGAGCAAACAAATAATTAGTTTTAAGTGTTAATCTAGTCAAATTATTGTTAAAAGTCCTCCTGTGCACGCTCCTGCGGCCGCCATTTGGCAGCCGATCGATTTTTGGCACAACACCGGCCCAAATTTACAGACTGTCAGCAGTGACGCGTAACAAACGCGACGTGTTAGCGGTGACGCATAATAGATGCGACATATACGGCGAAGCAACGTATTTATGGATTTTTTCACTTTATTATTTGGACTGATGCGACTTATAGGGCGGTGCGACAAGTACGGCGGAAAATACGGTAAGTTAGAAGAACACAGAAAGCACATATATTGGCTGAATTTGGTTTAAATAAGCAGACATGAGCACAAAAATAGTAAATTAGCTTAAAAAAAAGCTGAAAATAAGCAAAAAATAGCTGAATAGTAGCTGAAAATGCAAAAAGCTTAAATTATCAGAAGAGGAGAGAGCACAGTTTTGCTCAGTTAGGCTAAAAGAAGCAGAAATGAGCACAAAATGTGGAAATTATCTGAAAAAAGCAGAAATTTGCAAAAAACAAGCGAATAGTAGCTAAAAAAGCAGAACAAAGCTTAAAATTACCAGATGTGAAAAAAAAAAACCACAATTGTGCCCAATTAGGCTAAAAAGCAGAAATGAGCAGAAAATGGAAATTATCTTTTAAAAAAAGCAGAAATGTGCAAAAAACAGACCGCTGAATGAATAGTAGCTGAAAAAGCAGAAAGAAGCTTAAAGTACCAGAAGGAAGTGAAGCAGAAATGAAAGTGGAAATTATCTGAAAAAAGTAGAAATGTGCAAAAAAATAAAAAATAAAACTACTTATGAATGGTAGCTAAAAAAGCAGAAAGAAGCTTAAATCGCCAGAAGGAAGTGGAGAGCACATTTTTGCTGAATTAAGGTGAAAAAGTTGAAATGAGTGCAAAAATGTGGAATAAGCTGAAAAAGCTAAAATTAGCATGAAAACATCTAAATAGTAGCTGAAATAGCAGGAAAGCTGAAACTAGCAGAAATAAGCAGAAAGAAGTTAGAAGCACAGAAATGTTGTAGTTAGCAGAAAGAACGTAAAAAGGATCACAAAACAGCTGAAAGTAGCTGACAAAAAGTTTAAATTTGCACAAGGAAGCTGAAAGAAGCTGCAGCAGAACAAAATGTGAAAAGAGCAGTAAATTGTTGTAAACAGATATAAAGATCTGATGGATGTAAAATGAGCTCAATTCTTTTTCTATGAGGGAAAAAAATGGCAGAAAAGGCTAAATATTTCAAAAAGCTAAAATTGCACCAATACCAAAGTCACAGCAGGATTGTCCTGAAAGAGCTGAACGTTTTGATGTACGATCTGTTGAAATAGCTTGAAAACTGCAGGATGAGAACGATGCTGAAAAAAATGTATGGAAGAAAAATGGATCACAATAGTGTGACTGCTTCATAAACATTCACACAAGTAGGCAAAAAAAAAAATCTCCTGAGTTTTTTAAATTAATTATAAAGTAGTCTACAACATTTTATCCTCAAGGTCATTCCCATTTCATCAAATGACTAAACTGCCCATTTTCCACTCCATCAGTTTAATTATGAACATTAAAAGTGATTACAGCAAATAAACAAGCATTTGACATGTTTTTCAGGTTTTATTAGTTAATCGTACAGTTAAAAATGTAACATTAAACAGAACCAGGTCGTATTTATTCACCTTTATCTGCACAGTTTACCTTAACAAAAATTAACTGGAAAAAAAAGAGGTAGCATCTGTTGAGCCCTAAAACCATGAAATACAGATTGGTCCCTTATCTGGTGTTTCAGAATTTCCTTTTTTTGGCATTAAAAGATGTAATCTGTCCTCAGATGTTGTGTGTAAGAAAATCCTTTTGAAACAACAGAAAAATTGAATCAAAAAGTGTTTTTTTTTATGAGTCTGCCTTGATTTTTCATGTCTGAGTCGGATGATTTGTTTTGTTTCAGCTCGTCATCAACTGCCAACAGCTGGCAGAAAAGAAAGCGCCGCAGCAACAAAGACACAAACCAACAGGACGTCAAAGACTAATCTACGCATGAAGGAGCGGCGACTCTTCTTCCCGTGTCCTCTGCTTCTGAACCACTGCACCACCTGGTCCAGGTTGTGCTCCTGCGGCTCATAACCGAGCTCTGCTTTGGCTTTGGCCAAGCTGAAGTAATGCGTGACGCCAGTTTTATACACCTCGGTGCGCGTCAGCAGCGGCTGGAAGTTGTAGAAGGGGCCAACAAGGTGGTGAATCATTTCTGTGAGGAAAGCGAACAAGTACACGAGCGAGATAGGAAGGCGAAGTTCGGGGAACCGATATCCTAAACCCTCGACCAGCGGTCTGAAAAACTCAAAGTTATTGACAGGCCTGCCGTCGGAGATGAAGTAAGCCTGGCCAGCAGAGCGGTGCTGCTTCTCAGTGGTCAGAGCTTCAGCTGCTAGCATGTGGGCTGACACCAGGTTATCCACATGGACAAACTCCACCAGGCTGCTGGGACTTCCATAAACAAACCTGAAGATCCCCCTTTCTATGTAGCCAACAATCCTTGGCAGGTGCCTCTGCTCGCCGGGCCCGTAGATACCTGCTGGACGCAGGGCACAAGTTCGGAGCACTTCAGGGCTGCACCGTAGCGTCGTGCCGTTCGCCGTTAGCACCGCCATCTCCGCAATGGACTTGGTTCTTGAGTAGTGGTCAGGGTGAAGAGGGAGAGGTAGATAAGGCAGGCTCTCATCCCCGTTCTCGATGACTTGGCCTCCAAACACCACGTTGAAGGTGCTGGTGTACACGAGCCTCGGCACTCCGCGCTCGATGCAAGCTTTCAGGACGTTCTGGGTGCCTTGAATGTTGACGGCCTCAATCAGACTCCTGTTCAGCTGCTCCCTACCAGACATGCCATAGGACGCCAGGTGGAACACACAGTCCACACCAGCAATGGCCTTCTCAACTTGTGTATATTCACGTACGTCACCACGCACAAACACGACGCTTTCAGGAACGTCTTGATTCGGAGGGTTGGTGTCAAAAAGAACAATCCTGGCTCCTTGTTTATGCAGAGCGCATGCAAGCCTGCAAATAAACAACTTAAGTGTTAAGGATTATGTTTAAGCTCGTGCAATGGCATCATTTACCTCAAATCAATGACAAAATTATCACACCCGTTACTACAATTTAGGCGTTTAGTGCCAAAACAGCTGCAAAATGACACAACAGTGCCATCTTGTGGTCATAATACAGGTTTACACAAATCAATCCTACTGTTCCTGGACATTATTAACAGGCTAAAGTTAAAATAACATGAACATGTTCTTACCGACAGCCAAAATAGCCACATCCTCCAGTTATTAAATATGTGTTTCTGCTTTCCATCGCACAAAGGAGAATCTGTGAGTAATAATAATAATAATTTATTCAATTAATTTGTACTGCACTTTACATTTTACAATCTCAAAGTGCTACAATATAAAACTTCTAGAGAGTAAAATATGGACTACAAAAGGACAAAAAAAACAAAGTTTTTACAGAATTAAATGAAAATTAGAACTGCACAAAAAGCAAGACTCATAAAATACAAGCAAAAAACAAACAAACAAATTAATTCAACCTTTATTTAAAAAGGTTAGCCCCATTGAGAAAATAAAAAAGGTCCAATGGTACACTATCACTGAAATTCAACAGATGTGTTTAGTTTAAACAATTAAAAATGTTAAGGCTCAATAAAAGTTTGAATGAATTCACAAGCTCATTGCAAACATGTATTTTTTAAATTTTGCCAATGACTTGTTAAAAAGGATTGTAATAGAAGCAAAATAAAACTTGTTTGAATATTTTGGCCAAATTCCAGAAATTGAATCACATATTTAGCATAAGCTTCTTGTTAAACAGTTACTATAATTTCCTTTTAATAATAATTGAAAAAAAATTACAGGATGCAAAACAGTTTATATAAATATATGTCATATCCTTAAGTTTCAGTGTTGTTGAAGCTGAATTTCGATTGCATGCTGCATTAATTTAGTTTTTATCAGAATTGAAATTATGTAGAATATGACAGCAACAGCAACCTCCCTGTGAATTATTAGTGTGTAACGTTCATGTTCCGTGTTGCGTTCAGGCGTTACTGCGGTAGAAACTACTGAACGTCGCGTTAATGTGCAGCATGCTCACACGGCTACAGCATATCTGCAGTCTGGACGCTAGCTACTCATAGATGACACTGACTTCATTACAAAAATTAAACGAGTGAAACGTTAACTTTCTGTGACTCACTTTACACAGCAGCGTAAAACTGGAGCGAGGTGATCACACTGACGTTTACAGTTTGCTGTGCTGTCCCGTCCCGGTGAACACGTGATGTGCACGTGATCCCGTAAGGCAGGAAGCACAGTCAGGCTTGCTTCAAAATTAAAGATGCTAAAACAAAATATAACGACTTGGGACTGATAACAATGTGGCATTTGCTAATATATTGACAGTTTAGTACAAAAATTGAACGTAGATGTAATAAAATGTGGTTTTATGATTACAGCTTTAGAAATACATTTGACTATTATTTGTTTTGAAAGTTTTAATCGACCGTTGAAATTTGAATAACTTCCGGTTTGTCATATACAGCGGTATTACTCATAGATCAATATCTATGGGTATTACAGTAAAATCTACTGAGGAACGGTGCGGTTCGTATTTGACCTTTGAAAAATTGCGGTTCGTATTTGACCTTTAGAAAAATTAGTGCAAACTCACTATTATATTTTAATAACTTCAGTGAGTTTTGAAAATGCTTTAGTGCTTTAGAAACGGAGCTAAATCGCGCATATTTTACAGTATTCGACAAGCAGCGCCTCTAGTGGTCATATTTTGATCCTGCGTGTAAAATTCACGTCCAGCTCGAAAAGTTGTTTTCACTTTCACGTCAAGCTCCAAACTGCGACATTACTCACAAAACTGCAGATTATGTCTCAGTCTAAAGGTAAGAGTGTTTTTAAGAGTATGTGCAGTTATTCAAAAGTTATTCTGTGAGGTGTAGTTTGCTGTAGGGCGAGGCAAAGGAGCGTGTCTGCAAAAATGTGTTTTTATTTCAGTTACTAAATCTAGAAACTGTCCTTAACATTTTTTTTTAACATCTTACCTCCCCATCTGTCTGGTTTCAGGAAAGAACACAGCACAATGACTGCTTCGCTGTAGGTTCTTAATGACGTCATTGAAGCTCTGGATGCTATGCACTTTTCTTAGACCTGTCTAAAGCTTTTGACACTGTGGATCATGACATCTTGTGTCATAAACTCTCAGAAATTGGTTTCTCAGATCACACCATTGGTTGGTTCTCTAACTATCTCTCAGCTCCGAGGCAACTTAATGGTCCAATTATCTAGCTGTTAAAAAATTGTGTACCACAAGGTTCTGTCTTTGGTCCCACCCTCTTCACAATCTACATAGATAATCTAGGTCGGACCATCCCTGATGCATCCTTACATTTCTGTGCTGATGATACAGTTGTTTACTGTTGTATTACAGTTTACTACCAATACAGTTGCTAAGGTTTTCCAGCTTTTGCAAGCTGCTTTTGACATCATCCAATCTGATTTGTTCCGCCTCAAACTTGTTCTAAATGCAGACAAAACTAAAGGGATGCTGTTTACAAACAGGAAGTCTGTCCCAGCAGTTCTTCCTATGATTATATTTTCGAATGGTGTTCCTATTGAGTTTGTCGATTCCTACAAATACCGTACTTGGGTATTTTAGTCAATTCACATCTCTCTTTTAAGCCCCACGCCAAAAACTTGGTAAAGAAACTGAAAGTTAAACTGGGTTTATTTTTCCGAAATAGATCCTGTCTGACTCTGAACGCTAGGAAGCGCCTTGTAACTGCGACTTTCCTTCCCTCCACTGTGACATCATTTATGTTGTTCAGTTTTGTTTATTGGTGATGATTCTTATCTGGATTAATTATTTTTATAATAAAATTTAAAATGTAAATTCAGTTTCCTCCTCATTTGGTATAATATTGTGATAAGATTTTTCTGTAACAACAAATTCTACGATTATTAAAGACGTTAATGAAGCTGTCGCTGGTCAGTAAACTGACCCCTGATCTGTTCATTGGATCATGAATTCTTTTCTGAAATGTGAGAAATGAACACTGATTTTTATTTATTTATTTTTTGTCTTTTTATCTAATAAGGTATTCAGTCAAATAGTTAAACCAACTTTATTTCTTTTTTCCTTATCCTGCTGTGTGACATAACTTTGAATCGTCTGGACAAACTCCACAGTCGCTGCAGCTTCAGGCCATGTTTGAAACTCACGTTTGATAACGCATGAAAGATAAAACCTCGGCGGGAGATCTGCATCTCAGTTCCCCTTTTGTCTTTGTCTCATATTTTCTTCAGCCTAAGAAAAACATTTTTGCCTAGAGTTTGGTTTTGTATAGCCCAGCAGAGCATGAAAGACAAAAGACTAAAGATAAACTTAAGAAAGTTAAAGAAAACTTTTGTACTTTAAACTTTAATAGCTAAGCCAACATCACATCACGCCAGCGTGCTCCTGCAGTGGTTCTGCTCCGGACAAACCGAGTGAATGATCATCCACCAGCTTTTTGATCCGGCAAGGAACCGTCTACTTGCTGATGAGAAAACAGCCCTTTGAGTCTGGTTATGAATCGATTAGCAGGAACGATTTGTTTGTCTGAGGACCAGTTCTCCAGGGAATACAGAAGGCAGTGATGAGTGCTGAAGGACTCCGGTGACTCATCGAATGGCTGCGTGGTAAATAAAGGGTGTCCAGTTTGTGGAGGAGGGTTTTGGAAGTGGTTCTCTAGATGACGTCATAGTTGAAAATCGGATGGATTGTCATTTTTTTTGCAGTTTGAGTTAAGTTCAAGTTCAAGAATCTTTATTATCCCCGAGGAACAATTTGTTTCACAGTCGGTAGAGATATAAAACATCTATACTAGACAAGACATTGATATTAAAATAACTGTACAGAAATCATCATTGTTTGTTGAGAAGCCTGATAACTACAGGGGAGAATGAGTTATTCAGTCTGTTCGTTCTACATCTGGGCAGCAGATACCTGCGTCCAGATGGAAGCAACCTGAACTCACCATGGAGTGGATGATCAGGATCTGCCAGAATCAGCCTGGTCTTGTTCACTGACCTCTCCCTGTGTAGGTCAGTGAGGTTCCGTAGGGCTATGCCAGCAGTTCTGCTGCACATCCTGACAATCCATCCATTATCTTTACCCGCTTATTCCATTTTGGGTCACGGGGGTCGCCGGTGCCCATGTCCAGCAATCACTGTGCGAGGGGCGGGGTACACCCTGGACGGGTCGCAAGTCCATCACAGGGCCACATAGAGACAAACGAGACAAACAACCATTAATTCTCTCACTCACACCTAGGGACAATTTAGAGTTACCAATCAGCCTAACATGCATGATTTTGGTCTGTGGGAGGAAACCGGAGTACCCGGAGAAAACCCACGCATGCACGGAGAGAACATGCAAACTCCACCCAGAAAGGCCCCCGGACCGGGGTTTGAACCAGGGACCTGCTCGCTGAGAGGCAGCAGCTCTACCAGTTGCGCCACCGTGCTGCCATCCTGACAATCCCCGAAAGTTTGTTCCTATTTTTGCAGGTCAAAAGTCCAAACCAACACATGAGTTAGTAAAGATTTATTCTGGAAGAGGAATGTTGTTCTGGATTTTGGAGAGCAGAGTGTTGATTTGAATTTCAAATGAGGGTGAAGGGTCGAGCCAAATCCCAAGAAGTTTGTAACTGCTCACAAATTAGATCTCTGAGACATCCAAGGAGAAGATATAATCCATCTGTCCGTCCATTATCTGCTGCTTGTTCCAAAGTTGGGTCGGGGGTGGGGGGGCAGCAGCTTGAGCAGGGAGGCCCAGGCATCTCTTTCCACAGCCACCTCTTCCAGCTCTTCTAGGAGGACTCCAAGGTGTTCCCAGGCCAACCGAGACACATTGTCTCTCCAGTGTGTCCTGGGTCTTCCCTGGGGTCTCTGTCCAGTCTGACATACCTGAAGCACCTCCCTAGGGAGGCGCCATGGGGGCATCCTTACCAGATACCCGAACCACCTCAATTGGCTCCTCTTGATGTGGAGGAGCAGTGGTTCTACTCCGAGTCTCTCCCAGATAACCGAACTTCTCACCCTATCACTAAGGGAGAGTCCAGCTACCCTGCAGAAGAAACTAATTTCAACCGCCTGTGTCCACGATCTCGTTCTTTCGGTCACTCGCTCACGACCATATGTGAGGGTAAAAACGTAGACTGACCAGTAAACGGAGAGCTTTGCCTTACAACTTGGCTCCCTCTTCACCACAATGGACCAGTACAGTCCCTGCAATACTGCAGACGCTGCACCAATCCGTCTGTCTTTGGTTTAAACCTCTCTTATTTATTTGTAATATTAAATTAATTTATATGTACACTAAATGTGTAGTTAACGTTAATTATCTGTTTTCTTTACAGTTCTGAACATTTTCGAGTTTAAAGTTTGTTAAAATTTTCTCATATTCCGCTTTTCCTATGGTACCAAGCTGTCATGTTTAAACATTGAGCATGTTAATGTTTTCTGTTTGTTTTTGGAAGTGGCATGGTATTTTTTTTTTTTTTTAAAAACAACCTCATTTCTGTGCACAAGAGAGTGTATTTGATCAGTTTACACCAGTAGTTTTATGGAACAAGCCGTGGCTCCGTTCTTTCTAACCATCAAGAAGTGAAAGCCTCCTCCTCCTCGCTGAAGGTTACCTCTTCTTTCTGGTTCATTCAGTGTTGCATAGCTCAGTGTAAGCGGGGAGGTTCATTTCACTCATGATATTTGAACAACTGCTGCTACACTACAGTTCACTATGATTACAAATTATTTAATGCATTGATGATGTGATAATTGTTTTCCTGTAAGCACTTACTCTGCAGGGTTTTTATTACAAGTTTGGAGCATTAACTCAACAATTTGACCCATTATTCTGCATTTTACAGGCAAGATGAATTTGAAGGAGTACTTCCAAAGGATTGGTTTCCACAGCTCCTGTCATAAAGCGGATCTCGCAACTCTGAAGTTGATCCACAATCTGCACGTCATGTCCATTCCGTTTGAAAACCTCAGCATCCACTGCAGTGAGAGGATCGTCATGGACCTGGAGGTTATTTTCAGTAAGATAGTGAGGAGCAGCCGTGGAGGCTGGTGCCTCGAGAACAACTACCTGTTTGGATGGGTGCTGAGAGAAATGGGCTTCGACGCCACCACGTTGGGATCCAGAGTGTTCAATAGTATCATCAGTGACTTTGGTCCGGTTAGTTCTCATCTCATTCACAAAGTCATCATTGATGGGAAGGCTTATGTAGCTGATGTAAGCTTTGGGGTGTCGTCTCAGATACGGGAGCCTCTGGAGCTCATCTCAGGGATGGACCAAGCACAGGCAGCGGGGGTGTTTCGTCTCATCGAAAAAGGGGACACCTGGATCCTGGAGAAGACTGGTAGAAAACCAAAGGTCCTCAACCCTGAGTTTGCCAACTCCAGTCTGGTGAGCAGGGAGGAAACAAAGCAGATCTACTGCTTCCTCCTGCAGCCTTGTGACAAGGAGCATTTCTCAGCAATAAATCACTCACTTCAAACAGATCCAACCTGTCTGTTCACCAACAAGTCCATCTGCTCGTTGCAGACACCTACGGGATTCAAAGCTCTGATTGGCTGGACCTACAGTGAGGTCACCTACAAACCTGAGGAAGAGACTGATGTTCTAGACATGAGGAACATTGCAGAGGATGAGCTTGAACAGGTTCTGAGGGAGCAGTTTAATGTGAAGCTGCAGAACAAACTGAAGCCTGTAAACAGAAAAGCTTCCTACACCTTATAGATAGATCACTTCTCTATCTCTTTTCACTATGGCTTTTAAATAGTGGCAGTGGATAAAGAACCGCAGTTTTAATTGTATTAAACTATTTATTTTGTGATTTTCTCTGAACTGCTTTGACTCGTGTCTTCTGCACAATAAAACAGTATAAAATATATGACTGAAAAGAAGCTAAATAAAAAAACATCAATGCAACTTTAATTTTTTTTGTGTGTGCCTGTTTTCAATTGCCAAAACTGTGGAATAATTATGAGCATTTTAATAAAACTTGATTTTCTTATGAATGTAAAAACAAGAAGGAAATATGAAAATACAGAGAAAATGATTATAACTTAATTAACAGAAAAATAAATTGTATAGTTTTGTATGCTGTGGTTTTTATAACAAAATCTATAAAGAAAGTTGCCATTCTGCATGGATGAATAAGAAAAATAAAAGCCAAATGGTTGAAACAAATATTTATTTTCTGAATAAATATCTTGTCAAAACAGACAGCTTTTCATGGCAAAACTGTCAGAGCAAGGCACATTAAAATAAATTTGTGCACTATTTTTCCCACATTACATAGTTAAACATGGAATTTTTTTCCCTTTTACAGGTTTTATTTAATTTAGTTCTTGTTTTGTGTCATCATTTACTAGCGAAAATTATGTGCCTTTAGGCAATCTGTAATAAAGTGCTAGCTACAGCGCCATCTCGTGGTCAGTAAACCAAACCACTATTTTTCACGAAAGTAAAGGCGGAGAGTAAAGTTGTTCCGCCCCTAACGTTTTATACCAAATCAGATTCAAGTTTGACATTTAGGCCATTCTGATTGGTCTTTTGGCCTGTCCGTCAGCTAAGGCGGAAACGCACACAACCAATCAGCAAAAGACTGCTTCAGACGGCTCAAAGATGAACTCCTTAGAGCAGGCCGAAGGTAACAAAAACACTAAGCAACTTAATTTAATACATTTTTAAATGTACTCTAACGTCTCATCTAGACTTGTACTAATACTTAAAAATCACGATATGAAGTTATAACATGATAGTTTTGCGTAACGTAACGATAGCTGACAGATTTATCTGCGAGATTTAGCTTTTTTGCTAACTGACGAGAGACGTTCTGTCATTGCTTCATACAAACTTAGTTTACTCATATTTTGTTCACCGACTGCTTATTTAAATTACGGTGTGTTTTAGTACCTAACCTTGTGGCTCAGCCAGTTTTCATGCAGTTTGTTTTCACAGTATGAATAAAATGACCATTTCGAGTACTGTAAATTGACTTTAACTGATGATGACATAATTTTAGTTGTCTGACTGTTTTGACTCTCAATAGAAAAAAAAAGGTGAAAAGCCACAAGTCTCTTGATGCTGGTTTTGAATACAGCATTATAATGTTTCCATTCTTTGGACAGATCTGAAGGCCTTTGAGAGGAGGCTGACAGAATATGTCTCCTGTTTACAGCCTGCAACAGGCAGATGGCGAAGTAAGTACCCTTGTCTCTAAAAGCCTCCTACATGGAGAGGAAATAAACTAATTTTACCAAAGTATTAGAATACTGTATGTGCAACAATGACAACTTTGAAACAGCAGTGATTATACATATATTATTGTTAATTAGAATACAAGATGCTGCCTCAAATGGAGGAGTTCAAGTATCTCGGGGTTTTGTTCACGAGTGAGGGAAGAATGGAGTGTAAGATTCATAGACGGTTTGGTGCAGCATCTGCAGTATTGCGGACTCTGTACCGGTCTGTTGTGGTGAAGAGGGATCTGAGCTGAAAGGAAAAGCTCTCTGTTTACCGGTCGGTCTACGTTCCTACTCTCATCTATGGTCACGAGCTCTGGGTAATGACTGAAAGAATGAGATCATGGATACAGGAGGTTGAAATGAGTTTCCTCCGCAGGGTAGCTGGACTCTCCCTTAGAGCTAGAGTGAGAAGTTCACTTATCTGGGAGAGACTCGGAGTAGAACCGCTGCTCCTCCATGTCGAGAGGAGCCAGTTGAGGTGGATTGGGCATCTGGTAAGGATGCTCCCTGGGCGCCTCCTTAGGGAGGTGCTTCGGGCATGTCCAACTCGGAGGAGACCCCAGGGAAGACCCAGAACATGCTGGAGAGACAATGTCTCTTGGTTGGCCTGGGAACACCTCGGAGTCCTCTCAGGAGAGCTGGAAGAGGTTGATGTGGAAAGAGATGCCTGGGCCTCCCTGCTCAAGCTGCTGCCCCCGCGACCCGACTTCAGAACAAGTGGAAGATAACGGATGGATGGGTAGAATACAAGATCCATGTGTATTGTTATATTCATGTTTTGTGTGTTTAGCTCGTATATAGGAAGCGTTTCACTTATTAATCTGGTAGCAAAACATAACATTTCACTAATCTAAACAGAGATCTGTGTTTTTTTTAATTGCCATTGTTATACCGTGTCTCGTTCCTTCTTATTGCAGTGATCCTGATAGTGGTGTCTGTTTGTACAGCCACAGGAGCTTGGAACTGGTTAATAGACCCGGACACACAAAAGGTTTGTATCACTGGAAAAGGCAAGACAGCTCATCAGGTTATACAGAGCCAAAACACTGCGCTGCGAATGTTGGAGGATGACAAAACAAACAAGAAATACATGACTGCTGCTTTTCTCAACCTTCCTGTGGTAACAATGGAATCATAAACTCGTTTTGAGATAATTGTGTATGCAAATGTAATGTTTTAATGTGACTTACAACTTATAACAAAACAAAACCAAGCTGGGTTTCAAATATTACATAAACTGGTTAGTTATTTTGTGTATAAATATATCAACATTTTTATGTCAAACTGCTTTTAATCACTTTGTTATTTTTTTTTATCAAAAACTCGATTCTTACTTTGTTAGAGAGAGCGAGAGAGACTTGGTAGAAAGATAGTGTTCTCAAATATATTAAATGTTTTCATCATCAGCAGTGTTTAATTCACAAATTTGCTTACTGTGAAAAGTGTTTATTAGTCTTAATGCTTCCTGTCCTGCAGGTCTCTTTCTTATCATCGCTTTGGAATCATCCCTTCTTCACCATCAGCTGCATCACTCTAATAGCTCTCTTCTTTGCTGGGATACACAAACGAGTCGTGGCGCCCTCAATGTATCCTTTTCTCTGCTACAAAAGATATGGCAGTCGTTTGGTTTCTGAGTTAAGCAGCTTCACGGTAAATGACTCTTTGTTCATGTTGCTGGTTGTTATCCATAACCTTTGTCTCTTCAGAATTGCAGCCCGCTGCCGCACAGTTTTAGCAGAATACAACATGTCTTGTGACGACGTGAGTTAACTTCTCCCTTTTTTATGTCATGGTGTGTAATCTTTTTGTATTGGTTACACTTTTGAAAGCATATTTTAAATTTTTTTATATTGTGTGTTTTTAACAGACGGGGAAACTCATTCTCAAACCACGGCCGAACATCCAGTAACTACACTGTGGAGTGCTTTATTTCATCAAGTTTTGATCATTGACCTCCGGCTAACGAGTCATTCAGGCAACCGGAGCAGCAGTGAGGATTTTCTCATCACGATAAAAATGATGTTCAGTGGGAAAAACAATGAACTGAAAAAGCTTTTTTTTTTTTTTTTTTTAATAGTGTCGCTGTGTTAATGTCTTTATTGAAGCTGCTGATCCACTCACATCAGCTTTGATGTATTTTACACATTCAAGTGTGAGTGCAGGTGTGTTTATTTCTGTTTGTGATGTTAAACGTGTATTTTATTGAAATGTTTCTATTTTTAAAGCTATTTACATAATAATAAACTCACTAGGTGGGAACTTATCTCAGTTTTTCCCGTTTTGTTACCACCTGGCTGCTGTTGTCACAGTTTGTGTTTTTACGACAGCGTCACCGCTTTCCGGCCGACAGCGGTCGATTTACGGCAAGAGCGAATCTTCCACATGGCTCCGAACTGAAGCGGAGCTTCTGTGTTGTCGAGTTTCATAGCCGAAATTTACCACAAAAAAAAAAAAAAAACGAGACACGACGCAGAATCACTTTACATGACGGCTTAGAAACTGGTGGAAATGGGTAAAAGTAAAACCACGAAGTTTAAACGACCGCAGTTCAGCTCGGTGGGGCTGCCGGTGAACGCCGTGAAGGAGGTGGACGCTGCCGAGGAAGAGCACGACGAAGACAGCTGTCCAGCTGCAGAGCTGCTGGAGAGAGTAAGGACAAAATTATTGCTCGGGTTTAAATCCAAAGGTTTACACACGTCTTAGGTTGTGAGTGTCGTTTATAAGTGTCACTGACTTACTCGCCCTTTTGACAGATAAGTCCTTTCTCTTCCAAGTTCTCCTCCATGTCAGACTGAAGCTTTGATGTTTAAATAAACAGCAGGGAGCTCGATCATTTCAGAGTGAAATAGGTCATTGTTTAATTATGGGGAGAATATAACAGCAGGGAAAGAAACTAAAGCAAAATTTCATCCATGACACCTGCACAAACTGTAGAAACGAAATGCACAACAAAGAAGAACATAGATTTTCATAGTAACTTCTGGAAAGTATATATAAACAAGTAATATATAAATTACCAACAACATCAAAATAACTTAATTGTAAAGTAATTCGAAAGGTGGATTTTAAAATGTGTTTATCATTTCTTCCATGCATTAAAGATGTGAAT